TACCTCTTGGACACCGCATATATCTACGAAAGGATTCTCTGTGCCGTGTCGTCGTTATAGAGTAAATTAAGAAGGCTACTACTCTGTAACAATAGCTTTATATTCTTCAAACTTTCCAATGCTGTTTTAAGTGGAATTTGAATTGAGGACTCACTTATATCTTCATCTTTTTCTTGAAAAGTGGCTAAAATTTCTTGGCTTGAAGGTATTTCAGTTGTAGATAGATTATTGTCAATTTTTATATATTCTGAGGCAGATAAAAGATTATTAGTATTAATTGGAAGTTGTTCAATAAGATAATCAACTTCGTTTTCATCATCCAGATATTTATCATATAATAAAGTATCTTTTTGAGATAGATCATTATGATCTAATTCGACTAGAAGGATTTCTGTTTTATGCCAATAGTTTTTAATTGTCTTATATGATACTTCATCCCATGCTAATACACAATATTCGATTGCTTCCTTTATATTAACTGGTTTCACCTTGGTTTGATTGTTATGTGCAAATTTATATGCATCCAATCAGTTTTGAATAAGAAAACACCTGTATTTGGCCTAAAAAAAAATATAAACATACGTATTAACATGTTGTATAGCAATTCTGATTATGTAATATATATACTAACTTTAAAAGAATTGATGATTCCAGCGTCCATCGGTTAAAGATAGGCCGTAGTATTTGCTGGTAAAGGTTCTATTTTGATATTAGTTAATATTGTATTATCATCAAGAATATGGGTTGGAGCATTATCAATTAAAAGTAGTATGTGGCAATTTTGACGAATCATTGAATTCAAGTCATTTATATAGTAGTTCCAAATGGATCTTTGCATCCAAGCAGTCTTGTTCCAGAAATATTCAACAGGTAATATTTTTTTATCAATATTTCTAATTGCATGTAGATTTTTATATTTATGAATGAATAATGGTTTTAATCTTTTAGATCCTGCTGCATTAGCAGTTAATAATATAGTAACTCTATCTTTAGCTTTTTTTTGTTTCTAAAACGGGACCTGTTGCTAATGTATGAGAAGGTTCTAACCGATAATACAAACTAGTCTCATCACAGTTAAAAACATCCTCAAGCCTATAAGGCTGAATAACATTTTGCAATTTAATTCTAAATTCAGGTAGTTTATTTAAGGGGGCACTATCTGCTTCACCCTGCTGCTTATATTCACGAATATTGTGGCGTAATTTAAAATTATATAACCAGCCATTTGAAGCGTTAAACTTATCCTCATTTAATAATACTGCAAATTCTCTTGCCTTATGTTGGATAAGGTATCCTGTTAAAGTTTGTTTATTTCCTATTACATGATCTACCCAAAGTGCAACTACTAATTCAATATTTGTAAAAACTGGTGCTTTGCTTCGCTTATGAGTTGCTTTATTTGAATTTGGATTGATAGATAACCAATAATCTGACTTTGCTAAAATTTCACTACATGTTGATTCACCAATATCATATTTAGCTACAAGTTCATAATTTTTAATACTGGGTTCATTTTTTTTTTGTAAATATAAAGCATGTCTTTGAGCATTAGTTAAAGTAACTCTTTTTTTCTTATGAGCTTCATTAGTACTATTATTTTTCTGCTTATTAATAGTTGAATTCATTATTGTCATGGAGGTTATAGTACTTCTTTACCACAGATAAGGTATTCACAGTTTATTTATTAAAGAGATATCAAGAACCAAAGTTAGGCACTTCTCCATTTGGATCGATGCCTTAAATATTATTACTAATCACTATTAATTACTACATTGTTCATGCAATCACTATTTTAGACTTTTAATTAAATTGTGATCACCTGATATTATGCATTAATTAGATCACGACATTCAATCAACACATACCCGAGTAGAAGCAAAAGGGAGTTCTGGCACAATTTTTGTTGCCGGTATCAATCTTGCATATAAATTCGCTTTTGCATCGTCAAATCAAT